GCGGCCGCGCCGCGTTTGCCTGGGGCCGCGCCTCGCACCGCTCCAGCCTGCGGGAACAGCGGCTGAACGAAGAGAACTCAGAGTTTCCCGGTTCTTTATTCTCCCAAGGCTGTGAGCAGTTCAGAGACTGCTTCCTTCTATTTTAAATCCATGGTTTCAGTAGAAAAATGGCTTTCCTTACTACATCAACCTATAACGGTTGGACTTCATGACGCTGGAAGTCTTTTCCAGCCTTAGTGATTGTGTGATCAAATCCCTTGTTGGCAACAGATCCTGCTTTGCCTTCTTGGCTGGCTTTGTGCTCTCCAGAATTCATCCTGCAAGAAGCCCACGAGTTCCTCCTAACTTCAGGGAAGCATTGTGTAAAAAGTATTTCGCTGTGGTGTAAACACCAAATCCGGGAAGTGACAGCTCTCATACCTAATTTATAAGTTCTATACTTTTAAATTTTTATCTCGAATAGTCCTCTTGTGGTACTTGCTTGCTGAGAGCTTTCTCAGAAAAGAGGTTTAAGTTTTCTCAGAAAAGAGGAGGTTTGCAATCTCTTCTCAAGGTAATATGATTGCTATTAATAACGTCTGATAAGTTCTAGAAAAGTCATTGCATTGCCAAGCTTTTTAAAGGCAAATGCATCTCTACAATTCTAACCAGTTGAGCCCTTGTAACCTATGTGGCTCCAGCAGAAGCCTGCTGTGGTTAGTGGTTTATTGTTTGTAAATTATGACAAAATTCAGATCAAAAGGTTGGGTTGAACTGGAATCAGGGGTTGAACAGAAGCCGATGTTGCTTTTTGTTCATAGCATCTTGAACTATGAATAAATCAGTGTTGTCATCAATCTGATTTTCAGACAATTGAAGTACCTTGGTAGTGAGGCTTTCTTTTTGAGGGCAAGAGTGGCAGCTTGATCCTTATTAAACTGTAGCTGAAGACTTTTGGTGTGAGCTGGATACTGTTGAGAGTGCTTGATTTTGTAGGGCTGTGCTTAGTCTGTTTTGTTTGTTTTCATCAGCCTTATCAATTTTTCATGTGCTTCAGAAGTGGAAAAGGCAGTCAATTTTAGGAAAGAAAAATGGTTTCTAAATAATAGCTTTATGCTTTTTCCTTCTGTGATTAACTCTTACCTTTTGCTGTGTACTTTTATGGCACTTTACGTGAGATGACCAAGGTGACAGCTAGGGGACAAGATTCCACTTCACACCCCCAGTTCCAGACAGGTCTGTTGTGTTGCCTCTTCTCATTCCCAGACCTTGTGTTGCTATGTATGATTACAAGGCTCTGAAGTGTATGACTCCTCTGAAACACACTCTGGTGCATTACATGCATAGAGTGCAAGCACTGAAAAATATGGCCATAACTAAAACAAAAGAAGTTCCACAGCTTCTTCCTTCAGCTGTTACAGTCCATAGCCAAGAAATGCCTTCCAAGGACTAAAGCTCACAAGCAGTTTTCCATAGGCTTCATTGAATGTTCCTAGTATAAAATATTAATTTTGCCTTGTATGTAATGAGTATGCGTGGTTGTTTAATTCTTTTTAGAGAAGAGATAGATTCTACACACCTGAGAATTAAAACATGGCTACTCTTTCAATATCGAGCCCATAATCATGATGTGCATGACATAAATTTCCTTTAGCTGAGTATTTATACTGCTAGGAGGATTCTAAATGAATGGCAGGAGATGCTGTGGCAACAGAAACAGCAAGTAGTAATTATATTTGCATATTTAAAGCATAAACTAGAACAGAAAACTTAGTACTGGGAAGACTGTCTTTCAGAAATAAAAAATATTTAAACTGGACATAAAGAGTGGAAGCTCACTGTGCACGGTGTAATGTGAATTTTAAGGAGACTGAACCACCAGAGGAGCTCTAGGCTTTCCTAGGAATGTGGGAAATGTTGGATTTCCCTCTATATGCTAGTGGATTACTTATGTCTTTTGTTCAAGGAAAAGTGTGGGATGTGTTTCATTTAAACAGATGCTTACTGGCAGCAAGTCCAGCATAATTTTTTTGAGAGAGGAAAGAGTGCTTTCCATCCTTCTGGTTTTTCTCTCTTTCATTTACTCCCAAGACCGGAAATGCCTTGGGCCTTTCAAGGAGATTTTCAATGAGCAGTGAGACTTTCTGTTGATGTCAGTCAGACCTTGAGGAAACTTTTACCTGTCCCCTTTTGTTGCTGCTTTGAACTGAGACTTAATCCTTGTTATTTTCTCAGGCACTAAATATATTCTTCACTGAGTAATAGCTGATTTAATTTTGTGTTTCTTCAGAAGGTTTTTTTTTTGTAGCAGTAAGAAAAGCTGGAGCTCTCTTTGAAAGACTAGAAAATTTTGCTAATTCATTCTTTCTCTTTTTCTGTGAAAAGTCTGAACTTCAAGAAATAGGGAGGTAAAATTATACAAACCTGCATAAAAATTCATGGTAAGTTTTAAATCAGTCTTTGCATTCTTCTGAAAATAAACTACATGTATATCCTTCTTAATCTAGGAATGCATAAGCATAATTTTTTTTTTTTTAATTGCAGTTTAAATTGATTGTGGAAAATCCAGATAAACCCATTGCATCTGGACTTCAAGTTAAAGCTGTTGTGGAATATACTCCCAAGTGTGTAGAAGATCTTCAGGATAAACTAACCCTTTTAGTGGAAGATGATGTAGTTCATATCCCCCTGCTTGGGTACGATATTGAGAAGTTCATGTGCTGCTGTTAATATTTGCAGATTAATCTTGTAGAAAGTTTATGTCTATGTGTCAGTTATGGCTTTGTAATTAGTCTGTCAATTGCATGGAAAAAAAAAACCAGTCAGGTTTCTTACAAAAGTAATAAGATTTTTCTTTTTTTTCCTAGAGCTGCACACAGGTAGCATATTTTTTGGAGTGATGTCCCTCTAAAATCATAGACAGTCTGGATTAGTAATTTTGCCTTATTCGGTTATTATTGGTTGTGATAATGTTGATAATTTTGAATGCTGTATTATTAGACAAGTCAACAACTACTCTTAATGTCTTCCCTTTGTACTGAATCACTGATATAGAAGATTTTACAGTAATTGTTCCTAACAATTGCAAATCTGGATTACCCTGAAACATATGTTGCCTAATTCTAAAAATATGGTGTGTGTTTTAGAGCAATGTCACTTGTTCAAGGATTTTTGAAAATTTTTATCAGGGTAGTATTGTGAAGGTAAAGCCACTTAGGATGATAATGCTGTTGGTGACTCCTTTCTGGATAGGACTTGCAATAGATGAAGTATTTAATATCTTCATGTGGAAGTGTCTTTTACAGGGGAAATGTTGACAGGCTTTAATAATTCTTTCTTTGTGTGTTTGGAAAAACAAGTATACTTCATGATTTCTTTTACTCAGTGTTTTCCAAAATGTATTTTGTGTTATGCAAAAGTAATAAATTCCAGCTTCATGGAAGAACCCCAACAGCAAACCAAAGCAAACAAATAAACCTCACACTGTATTAAAACACTAACCCCAAACCTTTTAACTTGACTACCTCCTTTTTGCAGGTCTGTATCTATTAGAAAATCTTACTGCATTTAGAACATACGCTTATTTCTGTCCACTTGGGAAAGGGCATGTTTGGATCTTGAGAGGGGAAAAATTTTTGTTTCATTCTTCCAGTAAAGCTTCTTGAAAAAATGTCTGGGTACTTGAAAAGTAAAATTTTTACAATAATTTTTGAGTGTACTCTAACTTTGTTAAATGATTCCCATTTTTTAATTTTTTTTTCCTGACACATCCTGCTTGTCTTGCATCTTGTCTTTCAAGAATTTATAACTAGTTTTTTTACATTAGAATTAATTATCAAAGATAATTAAATTGAATTCCTGAATAACTGAAATTCCTGAAAGCAGATTCTATCGTGGCATTACTTGATTCATGTTTTCTTCTCTGTCCCTTCCTTCCCCTCTCCCCTCCCTTTTATGCAGTAAAGAGTATTTGGGCAGGATCTACCTCGCTTAACCAAGGATATTTATTTTTCTTCTCCATTATTTCTTCTGTACTGTATGTGACACAGATCAGGAGGTGGAATTGTTCCTGTGTGTTCCTATTTTTGGCTGAGAGGAGACAGACTGCTCTGGTGATGTAAAATTCCAATTGATTTGAAACAGTTTTATGCCAGACCAGAGGCGTCATTGTATTAAAAATTGGAGTCTTTAAGATACAAGTTTCCTGAGGCATGATCTTTTCATTATGGCTAAAAAGTATTCAATACAGTGATGTCATCTCACTGGCTGAGGTTCTTAAATAAATAAGAAATAGCTCATAGCTTGTGTCATTACCCACTTCTGTCTGTTGTAATAAGTTTTGTTGAAGTCACATAAAATATGTATCAAACACGAAACTGCAAACTGGCATTACTTCTCTGCTTTTAGTTCAGGCAGCTCAAAATGAATTATGGTGAATTATTTGGTCTTTATTATTTGTGATGCAACTAAGGATAGTTCTACTTAAAGGACTGCTATGAAGTATTTAAAATAAAATAGAATTGTGGGCATTCGATTTTGACTAATTGTTTATAGCTATATTGTTTTGAAGTTAGAATACAGAGTCATTAAACAGGCTGATAAATAAGTACCTCTATTTTAGATCTTCCCTGTGTATGCTGTAGTGCTGAAGTGAGTTGACAAAACCTTGATAGGAGCACTAGGACAAAAGGAGAACTCTTCCACTGGAGTTCTTAATCAAATTTCTTTTAAAATGCAAAGGTATTTTCAAGTTTTGGGAAATACTATGTTGTCTTTTCTCTGCAGATTAATTCCATACTGTGATCTGGAAGTAGAGTCAGAGGTTAATTTTGGTGAAATGATTGCAAACAATAAACTAGTTACTAAAGAGATTAGTGTTGCTAACCGTGGAACAACTTCAGGTAAATATTTAGTATGCATTAAATCATAAAAATATATTTTTTTATTTGAAATAGTAATTTTATGCAAGTTAACACTTCAGTGACCGAGTAGCAATAAACTGGAATTTTGGTTATGAGTATTGTAGCTACAGGTGTTGCACTTGGCCCACTGTTTGTGTAGCCTGTACTATATTTTCATTTAGGAAAGAAAAAACACTTTAGAACTTTGAAAATTTTTTGAATTCTCTGCTTTGGAGTCCCATTTGGAAGATGTAAAAAAAATAGTTTGTCATAGTCTGCCCTGTATAGACAGCAGCAAATTATGTGTGCTCTTGCTTTGTGCTTCTGTGATCCCCAGACTTGTCTCTTGAATAAACAACTACAAGTTCCCTGAACTTGTTGAGCTAAAGTCCTCTGTGATGGGAATTGAATTGTATTTGTTGCTACAAGATAATGAGAGGCCTTTTATCTTGCTGCCATAGCTTTTGAAATCCTACACCTTTTACAACAGGCACATCCTTACATTTCTGTGAGCAGCTATTCCAAAGAGAGTAAGAAACATGGACAAACGAGCGTAAGAATGCCTAAATGATCCAAATAACCTGTTTGACTGCCTTTTGCACTGGACAAAGTTGCAGACACCTTTCTCCAGGGGCAGGGTGGCAAGTATGCTGAGTTTCAAACAACAAATTTAAGGCAGTTAATTATTTAAATTATTTTTGGTCTTCATTTCTACAGCTGCTCATTACATTAAAGATTTTTTTTTTTTTTTTTTTGCATTAGGCCAAAGTTCTGGGAACATTTGTTTCCTAGATTTTCATATGAAATATTGTATCTATAGAAAATACATGATTGCAGAAACACCGAGTTCCAATATTAAACTCCACCACCCCCCTCCAAAAAAAAAAAAAATAAATAAAAGAAATTCTGTCTAGATGAAGCAGATTTTTTTTTTCCCATGAAGTAAAAGGAGAACTTAGTGTGGGTGTTTTTCCTAGCCTGTTCATCTTAAAGATGTAGTATGTAGTTTATATAATCAGATCTTTTTCATATATGGTAACTTACTACTTTGAGAAATCATTATTAGGTAAAGAAAACCTAAAGAGATAACCTACAGTATATATGCATCTACAACTAAGTTGCATGATGATTGCTTTTTCATTTAGTGTAGGGGACTTTGTGGTTGTAAACTCTGTTGCATGATACATGCAGGCTGCATGGTGGAGTTCTATAGGATTAGATGAAAATTAGAAAGAAGGTGATGGTTAGTAAAGGATGTCTTGGGGACAGACAAGGGAAGAGCAGCTGAATCTGTGTTTTGTAGGATCTGTAAATCATAACACAGCAGGTCACAGTAACAGGCAGCACATAAATGCTGTGAGCAGGAAGTGCTCTGTGCTGGCCTGAGACACAAGGGTCATATTTGACCTCTTATTCCATGTGCTAAAGGAGTCCTTTGTTCCTGTTTCTGATCTCATATCAGAGATTATCTTTTATATGAAATCAAAGAGTGCATTTTTTGTACATTTGAAACAATTTCTTTGTATCCATGAATAATGTCAGGTGATGAATGTTGTTGGTTAAATACTGTTTTTTTTCACATTTTAAAAATATTTTTATAACCTAGAAATATTTGCAGTGCTCATCTGCAGCATCTTGTGTTGGGTATGGACTAAATCATAGAAGCTCTTGTTACCCTGCAGTATGCACTTAACTTTTTGGCTATTGTAGCTTCTTAGGGCTTTGTTTAACCTGCTGATGTTATTACAGCTACTTCATGATACAGTCACTTTAGTTTGGAATGTGAATACCTTTCCTGTTACAATCACAGCTTGCAAAATGGAATTGGACATGTGGGTGTAATAATTAAAGGAAGCCTGGAGATAATGATTTAGTCTTGCTTGAAAATAGCTAAATAGTAGCTTAATAGTAAAAAGGTTAACTATGTTTCCTGTTTTCATAGGAAGAAATACTGCTTGTTAACATCTGCATTATGTGTTGTATTACAGTTAAGTGTGTAATAGAGGCATATAAATCTATAGCTTTATATTGTATATTATTCTGTTGATTGCTCTGATTTTTTTTTTAGGTGTATTTAGAGTAACATATGATGGGGTTGTCCTGCTTAATATAAAACCTGCCAGAGGAGTGGTAAAGGTTTATCTAAAAAACCTAGGTTCCTAAGTGTCAGTTGCTGTCTTTAATATTTAGTTTTATTTAATTGAATTTATTATTGTATTATATCCACGGAAAAGTGATCCATAAATTGTATACCTGGCCATGTTAATAAAAATCTTTCTTAATTTGTAATGATTTGGGATGTTTGCGCATTTCTCAGAATAAAAATAACCAGGAGCTTTTTTCTTTTACCTTTCTGCACATACTGTGTTCCTTAATTTTCTTAGCTTCTTTAACTGCATGTTTTCTTTTAACTTTGTGTTTCAGGAGTCTCAGAAACATTGTGGTGTTCTTTAGCGTATCTTATTTTCACTGAATGGAATGTATTTGTAACACTGGACTAGATTGCTTTTAAATGCACACCTTATGGAATCCTATTATCCCAGCATGGTTTGGCTTGGAAGGGACTTTAAAATCCTGTATTTCCAACCTCTCTGGCATGAGCAGGGACTTTCCACCAGACCAGGTTGCTCAGAGCCCCATCCAGTCCGTCCCTGAACACTTCCAGTGGTGGGGAGCCCACAACTTCTCTGGGCAATGTGGGAATAGGGAGTGGTTGATTTGTTGGTTGTTTAGTTTTGGTGATTTGTGGAATCATCAAGATCAAGCTTCCAGGCAGGAACAGCTGCAGCTTTTTCATCCTTATTCAGATGAACTTCTAGCTCCAGTTCCCTACAAGAAAATTAGCTTAAATTTAAATTTCCACACAAGAAAATATGGTAATATTGGTGTTTAGATACAAAGACTCAGAGGGATAAGAGCAGTGTATATTGTGTGTGGACACCTCCTGATTCTTTGCAGATGCCATTCTTACAGTTTCAAA